TTTTTTTTTTTTTTTGTTTCATCTGCAACAGCTGTCGGATTGGGACCGATTCGCGGCAGAAGAGTATGAACTGTTGGTCACCGAGGAGAGCGGTAACGAACAGAATGAGCAAATGTAAGTGTTGATTTCACGCGACTAATATTTCACACACGGTTCATCTATGTCATATAATTTATAATTTCCACCGTCATCCATTAATATCAATAAGCCATTGATGTTTATTAATAGCATTTAATATTCATTAAAACGAGATCGATCAAAGATTCGTTTCAAAAAGAAAAAAAAAAACTGTCAAACGTTATCGTGAGGTACAATAGATGAACCGGTCGCGTAGTTCTTATAGAAAGTTCTTGCTTACCATTTCGAGCTATGGGACGGAAGTCATAGCTTTCGAATTGTGGCATGCGTTGTCGTTAGATAGACAGTATGCCCTGTTGCGGAATCTAACAATTTCACCTTGTACTGTGACCGTAATGACCATAGTGCGATCTATGCGTTTGTTGCAGGCTGTGTGATGATGAAATGTAACCATCATCTGCAGCAGTAAGTAAACGAAACAAGAACTGCATGATGCACGACGTCCGTGTATGCATAATGTATCAATTAGAGAGTCGGCTAACCGCTTGTTCCTTCTCGTTTTTTTTTTCTTTTTTTTTTTTTACTTCATTCTCCGTACCGTTTGAGTTCTAATTGACTCTTGATATTGAACTCGCTCATAATTTATTAATTTATTAATTTCAACGTGACCAAGATGGCTAAGACATTTCAAGACTGTAACTGAGATGCCATCGGGAAAGCTTCACTTCAGTTTTTATTCCCGTAATCGCTGGATGAAAAAAAAAAAAAAAAAAAAATGAATATCTATAAACATGAAACGCTCGTTACTAAATGTTTCTAAGCCAAGAATGCATATGGAGGATTGAATTTTAAACTTGCGAGACTGTTCCGCAATTGTTTGCTTTTTAAACACGGTTTTTGCTTCTACTAAAGCATAAGTTGCATCGACTAATCGAGTTCTCGACACTGTGTGTGTGTGTACGTTGTACTGTGTAGAGTACTGTAGAGTTCTGTCACTTATAATTTACCTATTTATTATTATTTCGAATTTACGACAGCTTTATTTAAAGAAAAAAAAAAAAAGAGAGAAAGAAAAAAGACGTGTATATTTTTCCCAGGTCAAACGATTCCATGTCAGAGGACACGTTTTCCCAGAACCTGGAAACCCTGGACAGTGAATCCGTGGACATGCTTCAGGGTGCAGATATACAATTCCAAGGGTACACCGATCTACCTGCGATCGGCCCATCGGATTCCATTCAATCGAGAAATCAATATTACGACAGCGGTGACAGCGACGATTACGCCGAGAGCGATAATTGAATGGGGAGAAACTGAACGTCAATCACGGGGAAGAGAAAGCAAAAGAAAGGGGGAGATTGCCTTTTCTCTCCCTGGTGGCAATTCAATAGTCTAAACGCGTAGTTGTTTTCCATATAATAGGAGTGTCGTGTAATCTTTTTGTGAACAGCCGTATATTATGGTGAAACGATTCTCGGTACATATATGGGACGAATCTATTCGGTGATCCGGTTCGAATCGCCTCTCGCAAGTACAAAGACATTCAAGAATGATTTGAATGATTCTACCTGAACAGAATAGTCGAGCAACTTGGAAATGTTGTGTCGGTGAAACAGATCCGCAAGCTTCTTCTTCTTTTTTTTTTTTTTTTTAGAAACTGGACGTATTTTATCGTTTACGGGATAAGAAATTAACGAGAGGAAAATATCGAACGATCCTCTTTGTAACGGAGAAGCTTCGATATCACCGAATCGATCCGTAACTATGAATAGTCGAGAGGAAGATTCAGGCCACGGCACGACGATGTGTGATAAGCAAGCGTCATTGTTCAATCTCTCTACGGATATACATACTGTGTACTTCACGTTGTAAATAGACAGCAAATCACGGACCCTTATTTTTAC